GTCTCCTAGTCTCGTCTCCTAGTCTCCTAGTCTTGTCTCCTAGTCTTGTCTACTAGACTCCTAGTGTTGTCCCCTAGTCTCCTAGTCTCGTCTCCTAGTCTCCTAGTCTCGTCTCCTAGTCTCCTAGTCTTGTCTCCTAGTCTTGTCTCCTAGACTCCTAGTGTTGTCTCCTAGTCTCCTAGTGTCGTCTCCCAGTCTCCTAGTCTCGTCTCCTAGGGTTCGATTCGATCGGTAAGTTAAGGGTTCGATTCCGGCGGCTAGAAAGATTCGTTCTTTTTCCCGTTATTATGGGTTTTTTTTCTTAACAACATTTAGGGGTAATAGGGGTAATTAGGGATCAAAATTTCCTCCGTTGTGTTGTAGTTCATTATTCGTGTCGAATAAATAGACTTTTAAGCTTCATTTTTATTAGTATTTTTGAAAGAAAAAAACTGCTCATTTTCTGCCAAATTCTAGCAATTTTCAAATAAAGTTTAGCAAATTTTTATCTTTTTTATTGTTTTTTCAAAGTTGAAGCTGTTTTTGCCATTTGAATACCAAAATTGAGCAAAACTTTCACAAGCCAAGCCACCATTAACTGAATACCCATTGAATTGCATTAAAAAAAACCCCTACATAACTCTATTCGAATTTTCTTTCTTATTTCATTCTTCTTTTCCCCAATTCTTCAATTCTTTTAACCGCATCAGTTTTTGCACTTGTTTACCACATATTTCAGTCAATCGCCCATATTTTCGTCTCTTTTTTTCTCTCTTTTTGACTCAAATTTCCCTCAGACACACACATTTATTTCGTAACTGTTTCTTTCTTTTAAAGATTTTACTTTAAATTGAAAAATTTCTTATGCATAATTGAGACACTTGCATATCAGCTCTCTGTCTGATTACTGATTACTCATCCTTTTGTCAAGCGTTTCTTTATCAGATTTTTCTTTCATGTTTTCTCATGTTTTGTTTGATATGCAATTTCCATATATATAGCTATATATTTATGCAAACTTTATCCATTTAATTTCCAGGTGACACTTCGTAGTGCTTGGTAGGAGCGCCCCGGGCCTTGTCCTGAGGAGTCTCTTCCTCTCCATCCTCCAACAAAGCAAAAAAAAAAAGAAACAGACTCTGAGGAAGTCTGCAAATGGGATAGTCGAAAAGAGACACCTAGTGAGTTTTGAAATTACAATCAAGTCTTGAAAATGCATACCCGTAACAGAAGATTAAATGGCCTAAACTGACTCTGGCCTGGTCTAGCTTGGCCCAGCGCTCGGCCTGAATTGCTCTTGGCTCTGTTAAGACTTGGTTTTACTATGGCTGCTTTCATCTGATCCACAAGAGTACAGTCGACTCTCGATACAACGATTTTGAAATTCTAAAACATGCCCTTGGTTTCTGCGTAGTCGTTCAGCCAAACGCCATCGTTAGCCTGCAGCTACGCAAGAAATTTTGTGCACTTTTTCGAATCATTAAATCGAGAGTCGATTGTATTTGGATGAGCTGAAACCTGGCTTCTAACTTGGAGTAATCAAACCAGCCTGAAACCTGGCTTCTAACTTGGCCTGCTTATAGAAAGTGGCATAGGCTTACAACCCTAGGTTGTCCATTGCCCAAAACTTGCCAAAACTTGCCAAAACTTGCCCATTGCCAGATCTTTCTTCAGAGATTTTACGGTATTTATCACTTGCTTCAAATGAAATAAATCCAAAAAATTCGTGCTTTCAATTGAATTTCACATTTTACTTTCTTCAAATTTCAGGAGTAATCAAACCACCCGGTGCCCTTATTTTCTTCGCAATCCCGTGTGAAACGTTGAGAACCCGGTGACTTCTCGTGTTGTGCATACATATTTCTATTTCTTTCTATTCAATTTTATTTTTTTCTCTTTTATAACTTATTCTCTACCCTAAATCGCTGTATATTCTTCTGTTTTGTCGTCAATTTTTTTCGTGTACTGTAAATCGTCGAAATTCGGTTGTCAGCTTCATCGACCGAACAAAAGAAAGACTTTTTCGTGAGGTAAGTCAATTTTGAAATAAGTTTAACTAATCTACTGATTCATTTTTTAAAAAAACTCTTAGCTAGATCTATTCCATCTACAGCAGATCACAGCCGTACTTTGTGCTCAAAAGAGAAACACAAACCTTTCTGGTGTATATAGTATTCAGTGTGCCAGAGGATTCATTTTGATAAGCACAAAGTACAGCTGTGTGATCTGATATGATCATCTGTCGGATTCTATTGAGAACATTTTCAGCTTTGAGTGTAAATGAACACACTGAGCGCACGACCGATACAAGGAGATCGACAAAAAGAGATCGAAAGGGAGAGGATAATCGAAGGAGACGGTGAAGAGATAAACGACGGAGAAAGAGAGGGAATTGAAGATCGAACGAATCAAAATCATCATCCACAAACACCATCACCGCCCTCGTCTTCACACCATCGTCACAACAATAATCATCACGGTTTGTTTGAAAGAAAATGAAAAGATCTTATTGGAAAGGAGTATTTTGCCTAAAAGTAGATGACGTTGATGCCGAGTTGATGACTATTTTACGGTTTTAAAGTTTTCCCAGAAGCTCGATACTCTAATCCCCCCTAGATCTCATCGTCAGCTACATTTTCCGATCTCACAGCGATAGGTTTTGATTAGCGGTTTTCGAGATTTCGAGCAATTTAGGCGAAGCTTTGTGTGCACTACTATTAGAGAGAAGACGGTATATTATTCCAGGTTAGGCTAGTAGACCAGACTCATCTATTTCCCTAATATTTCTCGGTGAGCCGAGTTGATGACTATTTTACAGTTTCCAAGTTTTCCCAGAAGCTCGATACTCTAATCCCCCACTAGATCTCATCGTCAGCTACATTTTCCGATCCCACATCGATAGGTTCTGATCAGCGGTTTTCAAGATTTCGAGCAAGTTATGTAGCTTAGGGAAAGGATAAGCTGAATTACGAGATCTAACTGCAAAAGATTAAAAGTTATTTGGTTCATTCTTTTCAGGCGGAACTCCGATGGCCTCGTCCGATTCGGGCGTAGAGTCGGCAGCTGAAGTAGACTTAGAATTGAAAGTGAGTTTTTGACTGTTTTTACTGTTTTTACTTTTGCTTATTGAATCATTTTGATAATCTGAAATCTTATTTAGGCATCAGACTCGCCGATGTCTCGCGACACACCTCGCGATCGAATCGATTCGATCGTTTGTGGGGATTGTCATGCCCACTTTCGCTTCTCACAATTCACCACTTTCATCGAGCATAAGGTGGCTCTTTTAAACAGTAACTGAATTGAAGAAAAAAAACAAATTACTGTAGTATTTCTTTTACTTCATTATTAGATCTCGCATTGTGGTGGAAAACAAACACCCTCCGATGAGATGATCGGCTCACCGCAGAATTTCGAGCGACAATCGAGACGTCGGAATTTCAATCAAGTAAGAGAATTGAGATCGATTTCGATTAGAATTCATTTAAAACATAAAACATTAGAAAATCAAGACTGCAAGATGATTTAACGAAACAAAGAATCGAGATCGATTTAGATTAGAATTCATTTAAAACCTTAGAAAATCAAGAATGCAAGAAGTTTTAACGAAACCAATATTCTTTCTAAAGTCTTCTACTAAAATTTTCAAATTTCTAGTCTCGTCTCCGCTCTGCATCAGCCAATCCAATGCTTCTCAACTACCAGAACATGGATGTCACCACGGATACTCGAGATCTAGGTTTGTAAAAGAATATTTCTTTTAAAAGAATATTTCTTTTACTATATTCTTATTCATGAAAATACTATTTGATCAATGGAATTCCTTTTTTTTGATTCAAATTTTGGGGTAAACACTTGGCATGGTTGGCCAAAATTCACAGAAAGAAAAAGTAAATTGATAACGCCGCCTATTTCCTGGAGAATTTTCTGAGTTTTTTTTAGTTGTTTTCTTCTTTCAACTATTTCTGGGTACTTTTTCTCTCTATTTATCCAGGTGACCGGTATTGACCGATCAGCGAGAGACGATGCTCATTTTTCTTTCCCAGAAATCTGACCGATCAGCAAGAGACGATGCCCATTTCTTTTTCCCAAAAATCTCTCAAAGTTGGGGGAAATTTTGGTTTTTATGGTTTATAATTTCGTAAAGAAATTCAAGAAATGAGCGGAAACAATTCAAAACAGAAATCCACCTTTTACCAATCAAACTTTGCTTTTAAGGATTCGATTAGATAGACTAGATTCCGGCATTTTTGACGGAGAGATCTAGCTTTCGTGACTCTTGAAGAAATTTATCGTTGAAATAGCGCTGTATCAGCAAAAGAGATGAACCAAGACCGTTAAAAGTCTCAAAGTCAGCAAAGTTCTGTAAGCATCTTCACAAGACTCTCAATGCTCAATCTAGAAATCGAGAAATGATTTTCACTTCATAACTAATGACTCTTATAGTTAAGATGTAGAGAATCTAAGAATCTATCTCTCTCAGCCTTGTGCAGAGAGTGTAGACCGTCATCTCTCAATTGTTGACTCGGGAAAGAGAGATCTTTTCTAAGTTACCTTTCCAGAACCCTAAACACCCCTATAGGCTCTTTTAAACATTGCTGGGGAAATATCACTCACGTATAGTAGAAAAGGAGAAGGGTGAGGGTTCAGTTGTTTGTCTTGGCCTCTTTGTGCAGGACCAAATGGATAATAAAGTTGGTTGTGGCACCAAGAGGTCCTTGATGTCAATTGGAAAAGTGAGGGAACCGGTTCTGCATTTCTCGGGTCTTTCCACACTGTGCCACGGCCAAGGGTTGAAACATTGCGAGGGGTTGAATGAGCGTGACCGTCACTAGATCGACTATGCAGAAGATTTGCTAAATGTAGTGCTTCAAATACAATATGGTTAGTACGGAAATCTTTATAGTTTATAAAGAAAGAGTTCTGTAGCAAAGTTTGTTGTTTTAATTCTGCAGTATCACTCTTTTTGACTACTCATCAATAGAAACATTTCAAAATTTTATTCAGCAAACCTAGTTTGCGTAAAGAGAAAGACTTATTTAAAAGTTTTCTTTTTGTTTCTCTTTTTGTTTTTGCTTTTTGGTAGGTGAAGAAACTTTCATTGGCAAGATGGAGAGATGGTAGTTAGCTATTGAATTGTAAGCTATTAGTTAGCTATTGAATTATAAGCTATTGGTTAGCTATTGAATTGAATTTTAAATATTCAATAGTACAAGAAGAACGTTCAGATTATTCAATTGATTAATTTATTAAAGATTAATTCATCAAAGTTATCATCAATCTATCATTAAATGAATTCCCGTAATGCTCATTTGTAAATTTGTTGGAATCAGAGTTGAATTTTAGATTGATTCTTGAATTGAATTAAGATTTTCAACTAGTTATGTGAGTTCATCAAAGATTGATTCACCAAAAGCAATCTAAATCAACAAACTGTGTTAAACAACTTTCCATAACTTCCTCCTAGAACTGGTACCCATCCCAACAACTCTTTGCCACTTCCGCTCCCTTACCTCCAGCGTTTATCGCAAATAAACTTAGAAGCTTTCGAAAAAGCGACTCATTGAAAGTCTACATTGAATAGAGAAAAGCTGGTTGGAGTCATTGAACGGAGTCTTCAGAAAAAGGGATGAGAAGGGGTCCCGGAAGTGACGTGACCCCTTCATGCACACCCTCCAATGCCGCACCCGCGTCCGCAAACAGCGCCTCTTTTTTTTACCGTTTTCTTTTCTCGTTCACGTAGGGTCACGAACCATGTGTCAACATTGAAAGATTTCCCCTCAGTTTTCCACGCCGAAAACAAAGTTATAGGGACGTACTAAAAATTCCTGTAAGCTGTTTTGTGAACTGTATTAAGAAATTTCTAAAAAGTTCATTTTCAGATGGAAGTGAACACGGACGGCACTCGGTCACATGCGCTGCTTGTAAACGTCGATGTGCTGACATTTGGTCTTTACTCAAACATTGTTATGGAGAACATGGGCTAAGAGTCTGTGCCGAGGATATTGGTGAAGTGGAATACCCGCTATCAGTCACTTCATCGCCGGCTTCAAACAACTCGGAGAGTTCAGTCTCGATGCGAGACTCGTACCGTGTTCGGGATGAAGATAAACCTGGTGAGTTGTTGGTTAACAGTTAGATAAGAATGGTAACAGTTAGATAAGAATGTTAACAGTTGGATAAGAATGTTAACAGTTAGATAAGAATGTTAACAGGTGGATAAGTAACAGTTAGATCAGAATGATAACATTTAGAAAGAGTAACAGTAGTAAGTGTTAACATTTAGATAAGTGTAACATTTAGAAGAATGGTAACGTTAGTAAGAATGGTAACGTTGTAAGGTGTAACAGTTAGATAAGAATGTTAACATTTAGATAAGAATGACAGTTAGATAAGAATGTTAACAGTTAGATAAGAATGTTAACATTTAGATATCATTCTTATCTAGCTATTTGTTATTAGATAAATATTAGCTAAAAAGATTTATCAAAACCGGGTTAGCTTTTTCAATTTCTATCGTCACTTTTCATCAATCCAAAAGCAATGTTTTCTACTGTAAGAAGCTAGTCAGCTTAAACTTTCACCAAATTTGATTCTATGAAACAATTTTAACTATATCTATCATTTTGTAGGTCCTTCAAAGATCCACACTCCAAAGCCGGGCTCATCTTTCCCTCTCTCCTCGTGTTTTAGTGAACGACTCAAAGAATGCGCTGAGAAAGCTGCTGAACCTGAGAAAATCTTTGGGGAGAGTAAAACGCAAAGCAGGTAAATTCACTTATTTCTAATTGATCAAAAAAATCAAATTTTTTCAGATTAAACACCTTGGATGGAACTGATGATGAGCACGGGATCTCGGCCTTCACTCCAACCGGAAAAAAGAGTCAATCGAATAGCTTGGTCGCCGCTCAACTCACTTCTACCACCACACAAAGCACTGCTAGTCAGCTTGGGGTGAGCGAAATAATGAAAAATCACTTATTGAATGATTTTAGTCATTGTGGATGCAACCGAACGTGTTGAACGCGATGCAAGACTACTACTCGCAACTCTCGCTCACCCAACTCCAACATTCCACCGCTGCCGCAGCGCTGTTGAACCTCTCGCAATCGGTTCAACCGGCTACCACACCCTCGTTACCGCAGCAGTTGTTTCAGGTACGGTATTAGTCGCAAACTTACGCACAGCTTTGGTACAATAGTTCTAGACTTCAGTTAAGTCTGACATAAGAAACCAGGTATTATGGCGTTTATTATCTGTTCTTTAATCATCTTTTCAATTTCTAGAGCGGGGCCGGGTCTATGGCGCACCCGGCCACCCCATCACTGAGCACTCCGCTCTCCAATCTTCCTCCAGTCACCCCAAAGACTCCATTAGCAATCATCGATCAGTTGGACTTCTCAACTCCTCGATCGGGCTCTGTTCGACCGAGAACCGACTCAATGTCCATCACACCTCCATCAATGAAAAAACCGAGACACGATGAGGAGTTGATCGTCGTTGATGATGCTGATTTAGCTGAACCGGCCGCGAGAAAAGCTACCAATTTGCGCAAAGAACGATGTCAATACTGTAGCAAGGTTGGTTTGTAAATGTTATAAGGTTTCATTGAAAGTTAGGTGTTCACAAATCGCTCGAATCTCATCGTGCATCTTCGCTCGCATACCGGAGAGAAGCCATATAAATGTCAATTGTGTCCATACGCTTGCGCACAAAGCAGCAAACTCACGAGACATATGAGAACGCATGGACAACAGGGAAAGGTAAGGCTTAAGTAAGATATTGGATAAGAAAGAATCGTTTTTTTAAGTTTGTAATTTACAATATTACTGTAGCTTTTATTAGAAATTTGAATAATTTCAAGAATTTCAAGAATTTCTATAAGAATCTATAAGAATTTCTATATTTCTGACTTACATACAATAGGCATTAGTTTTTTTTTAAATTTCTTACTCTTTCCAGGAGACTTTTCACTGCTATATTTGTCAAATGCCATTCACCGTTCATTCGACTCTTGAGAAACACATGCGCAAATGTGTCGTCAACTCATCAACTCGTTCCGATTCGATGTCAAAGGTATATATTATGAAATGCTGAAAAATAGTAGATTTGGGGAAAATTGCCAACACGAGCCAAAATTTCACTTTCGCTTTTCTTTTCACCGCTTTTCTTTTCAGTAATTACTCTGAAATCTTGTCTACAAGCAGAGAATCTATTACAGAACAAACAAGAGCTGAGAAAACGTAGATGGATTTAGAATTCGGCTTAGAATTTTCCCCATCTCTACTTAGTGTAGCTATGATGTGGCAAAGAATCGAACATTGACCCGTCTAGTAGTTAGCTTTCACAGCTTTGGTGATAGCTTTTGAATACTTAAATAAATCACAACACACACATTACACTTTCAAAAAAAGCTACAATTCATTTCACTCGAATGGGGTATGGGCCTTGATTTGTGCCAGGTGACCCCGTCGACCCTCGCCGAAGCCACATCCCTCTTGGCCCTCTCATCCACTCCAGTCACTCAATCTGCAGCCGTCACACAAAGCAACATCAATGTGCTCAACTGGTTACAGGTGAGCATTGTTGGCTGTAATTTGAACTTACAAGGGAAGATCAATTGGATGTGCTCGCCAAATCACATGATTCATATGATCATTCGACGCAGAATTTCACGCTGATCATTATGTGGCTTTTCTTTTTTGCTACGGAACACTCTGTCAAAAGTTATACGCGTTTAAAAATCAAACCGCGACATTACAACCCTGTCCTTCGTGAACTGGGCAGTTGCAGCGGTGACCGAGTGGTAGTGAGTTCGGACGCAGGTTCTCTGGTTTAAGTCGGGTACGCGGGGTGATTTCGGTCACCGCTGCAACTGCCCAGTTCACGGAGGACAGGGTTGTAATGTCGCGGTTTGATTTTTAAACGATTTTAACTTTTGACAGAGGGTTCCGTAGCCAAAAAGAAAAGCCACATAATGATCAGCGTGAAAATCTGCGTCGAATAGTTTATGGGTCGTCATTTGACCAGCACATCATGACATTCCTTTGTCATTATGATAAAATCAAAGTATCAATTTATGTTAAACATTGACGTTTAGGCGTTGAACGTCTCAACTCCGGCGCCACCAGCGATGGGCGTAAGTGGATGTGTACAAGGAACATCACAACCAATCCTACAAGAGGACTCATCGAGGGATGATTTCTCGGGTGAAGACGAGGAAATGGAGAGTGAGACGAGCGATTTGAGCAATCAAGGCCGAGTCACCGTTAAACAGGTTAATCGGATTTGGATATTTGGATATAAAGTACAATGAATAAATTACAATGAAATGAAACAATGATTTATATGATCTCAATGATTTACAGGAGCCCGAGGGGAGTATAGCTGTCGCTTAAGAGGCCCAATCGATCATCAGTCTTCAGAAAGAAGCAAAGAAAAATCAGAAAAATCAGAAAAATTAGAAAAATCGAAAATCGGAGACCCACAAAGCTTTCATTTTTGTCTTTTTTTTTTCTTCTTCTTTCATTTTATCCTTTCCATTTGAAATGTCTTTGCAATACGAATCCAAGCACTACTCCTTGATCTTTCAAATGAAAATGTCCATATATATTCGTCCCAATCAGTCCCAATCAGTCACAAAAACAGCTAGTTATTAGGATAACTAGTTATTCGATTTTAATTATTTCATTCATTTTACTTTAGCCTTAGCTCTAAAATCTGTGAAAAGAAAAAGAAAAAAGCACATTTTAGTACAATTCGTTTAGATTTTTCTAGATCAGTCGCATTTGTTTTTTTTTACTTTTTTTTCATTGTTATTTTGTGAATATATTTTTTGGTGATTAGAAATCGGTATTAGTGGATTCTTAGTGAGGATTTGAGTGAGCTGGGGGGCACTGTGATGGGCTGAGTTTAGCTCTGATGTTGGTAGTAAAGAAAACCTAGCTATAACTACTGTATCACTCTACAAGCTACAGTACTTAGCTACAGGAATATCCAATAAACCTTACAGTACCCTTTTGATCATTCGATATCCCCAGCTCGTCTAGTAATTATTCGTAGCTAGGCTTGAAACCTATAAACATTGTGATAAGTGGCTTGAATACCGTACTCTAGCTAATGAGACCTCTAGATGAATTGGCGCGTAGTCGTAAGAGTCGTAAGACTCTATAGGATACTGTACGTAAGTCGTACAGTATAGGAATCGTACAGTATAGGAATACAGTACTTATAGCTATTCTTTTAGCTATTTTTAGTACTTATCTTTTAGCTACTATTCTTTAGCTATTATCCTTTAGCTATTATCCTTTAGCTACATCTTTACAGTACTCTCAAGTACTCTTTACAGTACTCCTAACAGTACTCTTTACAGTACTCTTTACACTACTCTCTACACTACTCTTTACAGTACTACTACAGTACTCTCAAGATCGTAAGATACATCAATTTTAAACTATTTTCAACTACAATACGTTTAAGTACATTAAAAAGTGACTACGCGACGCTCCAATACGAATTTCTCTCAATTAGCAAAGAGTACGGTATCCACAAATTCTCAATAGAAAACCCGTTCTCTTTCACCACTCTTCCAAACTTTTTTGTTTTGCCACATTTCCCCCACACTTCCCACACTTCTACTTCCCCTTCCCCTCCATACAAAACCCGATTCTTTCCGGTGACTATGAGTCTTTCAGACAAAACAAAAGCTCCTTCAATATATTTTTTTTTTACTTCATTTTTCCCTTCAAATTCCCCACTTATAGTCGCCAAGCACAAAAAATTGGATTGTATATATACCATAAAGCTTTCATCTCAATGTTTTTCGAGCAATCTTTTCCGATTTTTTTTCCTTTAAGGCTAATCTTTTGTTTTTTTCTTTATTAGTATTCTCTCTCTCTCTCTCTTGTGTCCCTTTTTTTCTTTTTCGATTTATTCCCGTGAATTTCTTTATTTTCTTAGATGAGATTTGAGGTGATTGAGGATTGAGAATTGATTTTCCCGGTACTGGTACTGGATTAGGTATTTTCCCGGTATTTCCCGGTATTTCCCGGTATTTCCCGGTAATTCCCGGTATTTCCCGGTATTTCCCGGTATTTCCCGGTATTTCCCGGTATTTCCCGGTATTTTCCCGGTACTGGATTAGGCTACGATAAATTTCTTTTTAGTCTATTGTAGACAATTTTAGAAAATCGATACACCAGCCAGTCGTACAAAAACACTTTAACGACAGTATTCTGTCAAGGAAGACAATCTGTATGGAAATCTGTATAGAGAACGGCTCGACAAAACTATCAAACACTCAATTCTTTCCCCAAATTTCATCACATCTCATCTCATCTTTCCCATTTGCCCCATTCACATTGAAACATTTGCTTCATTTCCCCCCAAAAAGGTCTTTCTTTTGTCTCTTTCGGCAAAATCGATAAACTTCCTACAATAAAATCATCAATCCAACCTGCCCTTAATATTTTTGATTTTAAAAAATCAATGACTGCTAGATAAACTTCAAAAAAAAAAAAAGATATTTATTTCTAATTTATTCTTTCAAGAATCCCATCAATTCAAGCAGTCATTGATTCGTTTTTTTTTCTTTTTATCTCCGATTTCCCGATGGGCCTGTGTAATAGCTCTGAATAATAGTGGGACTTTGTGTGAAAAAACCTCGGTGTTTTTGTGTTCTTTCATGAATTTTTTTGAATGTCGTTCCCGGTGATGGATGTACAGTACCCTAAATATGTTATGTCTTCAATTTTTTGTTTGAAAAGGTTTACGTCTTAGCTTTCTTCTGTCATTTACTGTAGTTTTTTCAGAGACTAAAACGTGAGCCAGTTCGAAGTTTTTTTTCATAAAGTCCATGCTTTAGAATTGACAGTAACTACGGTAGACATTTGGCTACAGTAAGAAAAAGTTACGGTAATTGTTTGTCTACAGTAAGCCAAGATTACGGTAACTGTTTGACTACAGTAGGACAGGATTACGGTAACTGTTTGACTACAACAGGACAGGATTACAGTAACTGTTTGACTACATCAGGACAGGATTACGGTAACTGTTTGACTACGGTAAGACAGGACTACAGTAAACCAGGATTACAGTAACTGTTTGACTACAGCAGGACAGGACTACGGTAACTGTTTGACTACAGCAAGCCAAGATTACAGTAATCGTTTGTCTACAGTAAGACAGGACTACAGTAAGACAGGACTACAGTAATCGTTTGTCTACAGTAAGCCAGGATTACGGTAATCGTTTGTCTACAGTAAGCGAAGATTACAGTAACTCTCGTCAAAAGCTAAAACGTGGATCTCGTCCTAGATTCGTCGTATCGCTAGTGATTTTCACCTGTTTCTAGTACTCGTATAGCTCTTCTTTTTTTTCCTTTTTCAACCCGGTGATTGTTTTCTAAAACACAGACCAGTGCTTAGTCTTTATCATAATTCCCCGATTTTCAGATAAAATCCCGGTTACTGGTATAAAGCTTACCTGTCACTGTTCGTTTAGTGTTTTCTAGAAATCGCTAGTTATTTTCTTGCTTTACCCTAGTCTTTTCCCAATGTTTCTTTCATTTAAATACCTTGATATGATTCTTCACAGATTACTGTACTTTTTAGTCTTTATTGTCTTTATTGTCTTTATGTCTTTATTGTCTTTTTGTCTTTTTTGTCTTTTTGTCTTTTTTGTCTTTTTTGTCTTTATGTCTTTTATGTCTTTTTCAGATGTCTACACCGAGGTCCCTTTCTCCGCATTGTTCACATCCGATTTCCCTCTATTTCCCTCTATTTCCCTCTATTTCCTTCGATTTCCCTCGATTTCCCTCGATTTCCCCCCGTTCCCCTATTCCCTATTTCTTGTCGTTTTTGTGAATACCGTAATCTATTTGTGGCTGAATTTTTAAAAACAAAATGAAACCCTTTCCTTTTAAAATATCATCACGCAGAAAACATATACAAATTTCGATGTTTTTCTCTAAAATTCCCTAATTTTTATGTAGACAATAAACTGCATCAGTTGAAGAAAATGCATGAATCATGAAACAATGACATTTGACATAAGTGACAATGAAAAATGACATGAAACAATGACATTTGACATGAATGACAATGAAAAATGACATGAAAACAAACAAACAACAGCCTTTGATAGAGATCATAAAATTTGAAATCAAAATTTCAACTCAAACGAGTTCAATTTATTTTTTACAAATGACAAGCTATAGAGAAAGTTGACAAAAAGAAAGATAACAACATTTGCACTTTAGTATCGTGCTCGTTAATTACTGTACTATTGATCTATCTATAAGTATCCTGTACTGTTCATAAAAATCCATAAAATGTACAGACTTGATTCCACAAAAGATCTATTAGACCTATCCGATTATGGACCTATTAAGAGCCTAATAGAGTCAACCAGTTAGTCAGCAATCATTGAACAGATAATAGAGAGAACAGAACAGACAAGGCTTTCAATTTCCGACTATAAAACTACAATTCATTATCATTTTCGATAAAAAAATATAACGAAATCTCTATTTTCTAGTTGGTATTATCAGGGTGATGGAATGATATTTGAGCCAAAGCAGCGCTCAAGTATCTTTCCACAAAATAAAAAGATTTGCAAGCCTGAGGCAATAAGTTTTTGTATACTGTTCGAAAGCCCTGAATCTCCTCTACAAAATAGTGCAAAAAGCTTTAGAATTCGATTGGGGATTTGGGTGTTCAAAGAGTGATCGCAGGTCGAGTCTGAACCTGGGGGTTTGGGGTTTGTTGGGAACAATAGCTTTCCACGGATTTGGAAGCGCTTGTTTTATCGAGTTCTAAATCGTTCTGCACTATTTTGGGGGTTTGGGTGTTAAAAAGTGATCTTAGATCTCAACCTGGGGGTTCGGGGCTTGTTGGGAACAATCGCTTTCCGCGGATTTGGAAGCGCTTGTTTCATTCCCATCACCCTAATATATGCGAAAAGGATTAAAGATTTTTGCTCAATTTTTGAACTGAAAAACTCATTAAACCCGAAAACTAAGTCCTTTTTCAGTTGCGTGATTTTATCGGTCGTTATTAGAGGTGTGATTTTCACCAAAAAAAGAACAATTCTTTTTATTGCTGATTCACTATAAAAACAGAATCTGATAGAAGGGAAAGAGTGGAGAAGTTTCTGTGATCCGCTTATAGATTATGCTATTCAGATCAATCAGAATTGAGAAGAGATTCGAGAAAGAAGAAAATTTTTCTGATTGTGCTGACAAAAGGGGAAATTTTTGGTAATTATTCAATCGACTTTGAGAAATGGGAAATTTCATTCCACTATTCATCTTTCTCCTTTTTCATTTTCAAAGTCTCGTTGCTCAATTGGCAAACATACCGGAGAATTGCAAGAATGGTAAGATTTTTGAGGGATTTGAGTGCATTCAGCTTAAGCCATCAGTGAATTCAGCTTTGCAAATAAGGCATCAGCCTTAAGCCATCAGCCTTAAGCCATCACCCTTAAGCCATCAGCCTTAAGTCATCAGCCTTAGGCCATCAACCTTAAGCCATCAACCTTAAGCCATCAGCATTAAGCCATCAGCATTAAGCCATCAGCCTTTCCATAGGGTTTGTAAATCTGGTACTTGTTGTTCATACATTCACAGAGACTCAACTCGGCTAAGCATCCCCATTCGAGTCTTCTCGGTTATCGATTTTCGTTCGACTGGTCGACTGATCACTTCAGGCGAGCACTCTACTTCACTGAACACAATCACCGCTCACAAGTTGTCAGCTCCTTGCTTAACTGAGTTGAGTCTCTGTGGATGTATGACCGACAAGTACCGTGAATCTTGTAGAGCTTGTAATGTCCACATAAAGTTATTGGCTAAAAACCTAAATCTCGCCCATTATGAGCTTAACTTTTTTCCTCATTTTGAGTTAATTTTGGTATCGTTCGAAGCAGAATTTTTGTTCTGCATTGAATGATAGTAGAAAATAGTCAAAATTGAAGGATTGGTGGTGAGAAAAAACATGAAAGAGTTTGAATTTCCGGCAAAAAAAATGGGACCGACAGATGTTTTCATTACAAGAAATCATTGTCAACTTTTAAAAAGAATTTTCTATGCTTTTTAAAACCTTTTTTGAGTGATTTAGTAAGTATACACGGTGACAAAACGGGTTGTACATTGGGAAAACAACTTCACGCATTTCTTCTATTGAATGGAGATGACGAAGTGGATAAACATTTCGAATTGTTGAAAAGAATTCTACAACCATGCATTAACGCTCAAGGAAACAATGTTCAAAGGTTAAAGCGATTAAAGCGATTAAAGCGATTAAAGAAAATCAATCAAGTCTTCTTTTAGTAAGCTTAACTTTGTGACAATGAATGGGTCGGTGATTGTAGACTTTAACAAATTGACAAGACAGAATTTTCACTATGTGGACGCTTCAAAGTGAGTGGAGGAGGCTTTATAAGCTCAAAAACTCAAAAAAAAACTATTCAGACAAATCCCCCAATCGAAATTGGAGAGCCTAATGTTGCAAATTGTTATTGATTATTATTCGGGCAAAGAAACGCATCCAGTTGCTTACGTGATCACCAACAATCCGTGCAATAAATTTCGCGAGTTTTTCCCGGAGACTTACAATGATACTGAGTACGTGAAAACCCTTGCTGGAGCGATGCGAAAAACGGGATTAATTCTGAGATATCTATGGACAAAGGTAGGCGTTGTTTTTTCAATTTTGAGTTAATCGAAAATATTAAATGATTTTTTTTAAGCCAAATCTTCTTGACCCAAAATTGCCGGGTGTTTTGAGTACATGTGGAATGAATTGGATTCGAGATAATGCAATGGGATATTTCGATTATGTAAGTAAACTTGAATAACAAAAAGTTTTAACAAGTAGTTATGAATTATTGGGTTGGTGAGTTGAAAACTGACTTTGAACTAAAATTTATTCAACATAAAACCATGAATTCATTCCAAATAATTTCCATTATTATTGACGACTTCTGCCCATTTTACAGGCAATTTGCGGATTCCTCTTTCGTAGTAGGATTTTGGTTTGTGTGTGAGACAAGTGTGAGACTCGAAAATCGAGGACTGGAGATGTCCCAGTTTGAGCATTTGAGCACTTTCTTCAAAAGAAACCCATTTTGGTGTCAATAGAAAAGTTGTAGAGAATCAAAAATGAGGCTTATAGCCAAATTTCCAAAAAGATACACTCAGTAGTTTCGCTTAAAATGCAAGTTTTGTGAAAATTCGTAAATTTCGCATTTCTTGAAAACCAGTTTTTGAATCGTTCTGAAAATTTGGATATAAGCTTGATTTTTGATTCTCTACAACTTTCCCATTGACACCAAAATGGGTTTCTTTTGAAGAAAGTGCTCAAACTGTCACATATGACAATAGCCGGCAGTTTTCAATTCACCAACCCAATATAACAAACTTTGCCAGCAATCAGATAGATTTATACAATAGCTTTAGGAAATCATTGATCTTGATGACCCAACTGTTCCCGAGCGTTACGGACTCTGTGGATCAAATGGCTGTAAGTCGAAACTAATAAACCTTTAGCCACATTTAGTGGATGCTCCGTTTGCGGAAAATCCCCACACCGTTACGAATCCTGATACAACAACAACAGCCGGCAAGAAAAGCGGCACAAATCTATTCCAAGTGATCGGCATCATCGTTGTCGTCCTTGTCATCTCCATCTTCGTTTTCTTGATCATTCGGAGGCTTTTCTTCCGAAATTGGGCACCCCGGTAAGAATACCGTATTCTTCCTGGTAGTAGTGCACCCTGAGCGTCGCCTAAATTTCTCGAAATCTCGAAAAGCGCTTATCAGAACCTGTCGATGTGGGTTCGGAAAATGTAACTGACGATGAGATCTAGTGGGGGATTAGAGTGTTGAGCTTCTGCAAAAACTTGGAAACTGTAAAATCGTCATCAACTCGGCTCACCGGGAAATATTAGGGAAATAGTTCAGTCTGATCTACTAGCCTAACCTGGAATAATATACCGTCTTCTCTCTAATAGTAGTGCACCCTGAGCGTTGCCTAAATTGTTCGAAATCCCGAGAACCGCTTATCAGAACCTATCGATGTGGGATCGGAAAATGTAGCTGACGATGAGATCTTGTGGAGGATTTGAGTGTTGAGCTTCTGGGAAGACTTTGGAAGCCGTAAATGGTCACCAACTCGGCAGGGTGCACTATTAAGGAATGCACCTTAAGGTTTGCCTAAATTCCTCGAAATCTCGAGAACTGCTTATCAGAACCTATCGATGTGGGATCGGAAAATGTAGCTGACGTTCAGATCTTGTTTGATTTGAGAGTTGAGTTTCTGTGAAAGCTTGGAAATCGTAAAAATATTCAACAACTCGATGGGTGCAATACTATTAGAGAGAATACGCTGTTTGTGCGTTTTTTTTCTCTCAAATTAAGCAATATTTTAATCAGATTCGTTCGTCGTTGGTTTACCAACGTGTCGGTGAGATTACTGGGCAGTGCCGGAGTGCAAGATCATGTGGTAAGTAAAGTAAAGTACATATAATGATTGCGGTTAGAACAAATAAACGTTTCAGATTCGTGACTTTGAGAGCACGATGCGGAAAAACGACTATCCATGCCCCGACGAAGCGCCAAAACCGCCTACAGTTGGAAACGTTTCGCTTCGGCGTAGTGACAATGGAGGATATGAATATCCAGTGATGAGGTGAATGAGTGCATCAAAGTTTGCGCTCTCAAAGTATACAGCTTAAAGCTCAGCCTAAACGCTAACCGTCTAATGCAAGTCCACCAGCGTACACTCACAACGATTATCAGTCAGACGACCAGTTTTACAAGGGAAGATCACAAGACTGAGATGGGCAAATGACATGAGCCATTTACCATACGACGTAGAATTTTACGCTGATTCCGATGCACTACAAGTACAAAAAGTTGTAACGATACTGCGGGTACGTTTCTGAGTAAAAATGCGATAACGACAGATCAAAAATCTGAATCCTGTGAAAACTTGTATGCACTTCAGCTAAGAAATTGTCAAAAAATCAAAAAAATTCTGAGAACTCACAAAAGAGAAATAAGCGCCCGAAGATTTGCGGATCTGCTCGCTAAAATGTGGACAAATTACCGTAACCCAAAGGGTCAAATGGCTGCGAAATCGTTGAACTTACTGAGGAACATGCCCGTAGTGCGATCCTGCTATCCGTTTTTTAAAAAATGATTAAGAAACGCGACAATCTGGCAAATAAGTTTGAGGTCAAAAATCAGTTCCTAATTCCTATAACGTCCCTATACTCTTCTTCATACCGCCTTAAAACGTGAGCTTGTGGTGCAGTGGATAAGAGCCTTGTTTACCAGACAAGCTGTGAAGCTTTTGCTCAGGTTGAATCCCTTCCTTTTGTTTACATTTTGTTTAACCGCTCGAATTCGCTCTATTTTAACTTTACAAGTATTATGACAGCTTTTAATTTATAGCAAATAAGATAACAAAATTAGCACATGTGGTAGGGATCTATAAATTAAATGAAACATAATTTAACATTACATTTTGCACAACACATAAAAGCATACGTTCTAAAATTGATTTTCACAAATTTGATGAGATATTTCTTTACTAAAAGCTCATTTCATTTGACCACATCAACTTTGTGTCCTTTTAAGCAACCAGCTTTTAAAAGTCATCTCCAGTGTGCTAGATGAGTTCGATTTAACTACAAAACCTCTTTTGTAGTGAACCATTTTTGAGCCCAATGAAACGAGAGGATTTATGGGAGATTGAGCCACTTTCCTTGCAAATCAGCAACCAGAAGCTGGGTGCTGGCGCCTATGCTGTTGTGTTTTCGGGCACATTGCGAGGAGCGCCTCCAGTCACAAAAGTCTTCCCGACAATGCAGGCGAGTTGTTGATCTAACAAAGAAAGCTTTAAGGGAATGTTTCTGAAAAAAACAAAAATGTTTCTGATTTCAGTTATCCTATTGCCTATCAACCGAATCCAATGAAGTTGCCGTGAAGCTAACGCACTCGAATGCAAAAGCAGATGACTTGTAGGTGAAACTCGCATTTCTTTCTATCAAAAACGCTCAGGATGGACTTCATTCAAGAGATCGAGTTCATGAAAAAGTTGGAATATTGCCCGCATTTATTGTCAATGTTGGGCTGTTCAACTGATCCAAAATATCCAGTGTTGATCACTGAATTGTGTGAACGCGGTGATCTCTTGCATTTGGTGAGAGATATTGAAAACGAGGCAATCAATGAAACGGTGAGTTGAAAGCTCGCTGGCCGCTGGCCAGGGCCGACTGGCCAAGAGGCCTGGATCTTAGTCGGAGTTCAAAGGTCGAGGGTTCAATCCCCTAGCTAGATTATTGGCTGTTTTTTTCCATCTATATGTCGTAGCCGTTTACGAAATTCAGCCGCTAACGAATGATTTGTTAGCGGCTGAATTTCGTAAACGGCTACGACATATGTATATGGGTTTCTTCTCCCCTACCTTAGAGCTTGTGTTTGTTTTTCCTTTTTATCACATTATTCGTGTGAATAACTGTGAACTTTAAAAGAGAATTTGCATTTAAAATTTCAGGAGAAACTCAAGTTCAACGAGCTTCTCCCATTGGTTTGGCAAGTTAGCGATGGATTGGTAGAGTTTTTCATGCTCTTATTCTTGATAGAAAAATGTAAAAATCAACTAAATCTTTCTAGGCTTATCTGAAAAGTCGTAAGATCATTCACCGAGATGTGGCTGCACGTAATGTTCTCATCACTGGGGAAAATATGGCTAAAGTATCATTGTCATTGTGCCAGAAAAGAAAATTCTTTTTCTATTCAGTTAAGCGATTTTGGTCTTTGTCGTTACAACGATCAAATGTTCTACACGACTCGTGGTGGGAAATTGCCGATCAAATGGATGGCACCCGAGAGTTTTGAATACGCGATTTTCACCTCAAAAACCGATGTGTGAGTAATTGAAATCGTAGACTCGAAACTTTGATTTCAGTTGGTCATTTGGCGTTCTCCTTTGGGAGGTTTACTCTTACGGGAAAACCCCGTACACTTCTGTGCAACCCGACGAAATGTTAAAGCATTTGAAAGACGGCGGAAGACTCGAGATTCCGGAAAGGACACCCGAATGGATGTAAGGTTTTGGAAAATTCTACTCCCAAACGCCTAACTTATTACCACCAAAATTCCAAGTGTTATATAGAAAAATAAAGCCCTTAATCTTGGCTACATTTATGTATTAAAAGTTTCTCGATTGCAACTATACAACTCATTTTACAAGCTCTTGAATGAGCTCAAGGTTTTTCTCTGACGATTTGCCATTTTTAACACACAATCTTTTCATCTAAAAAGAAATGCTTTCAATAAAACTTGTATTTTACTTTAAAAGTATCATTTAACAAAAGTATAATGTTAAAAAGCTTATACAAAAAGATCTTCTTGTCAAATGGAGATTTGAAAAAGCTATTTTCCATTTTTTCGCCGAGTTTCTAAATGAACCTAGATATCAACTCTAATTTTGGCTATAAAACTTTCAAAAAAAGTGTTTGCTATTATTCTTATTACAATTAAATGATATTAAATTTTATTTTTTCATAAAATAAATATCAAGAAAACTTTTAAATAATTTTTTTATTAAGAAAAGTTTCCAAAATGGCAGATCGCTAGAGAAAAGCCGACTAGCGTTCATTCAAGAGCTTGTAAAATGAGTTATATAATTCCAATTGGAAAGTTCTTTATAGATGAATGTAGCCAAGATTAAGGGCTTTATTTTTCTATATAACACTTGGCATTTTGGTAATTATTCAGACGTTTGGCAGCAACTTTTCCAGAAAAGGTGTCTCTGTACAAAAAGCCGACTTGCGTTCATTCAAGAGCTTGTAAAATGAGTTATATAACTCGAATTGGAAAGTTCTTTATAGACAATGTAGTCAAGATTAAGGGCTTCATTTTTCTTTATAACACTTGGCATTTTGGTAATTAGTCAGACGTTTAGCAACAACTTTTCCAGAAAAGGTGTCTCTGTAGCAAAAAAAATGATAAGCACAATAGAAATAGAAAATGATATGGAAAATAGTGAAATTTGCTAGTTTAGATTATTCTTATTCGTCTTTAATCAAAAATTTCAATTTCAAGGGTTCCATTGATGGCCTCTTGTTGGGCGGAGAAAGCCGATGAGCGGCCGGACATCGACACAATACAGCAAGCCTTTTACTCGATGATGGAAGCCGATGCGGATAGTTATGGATATTTGCAGTTTAGGTTAGTGCACTTTAGTATTTCATGGGTTTTCTCAAATCGCCTATTTGAAAATCGTCATTTCAGCAAGAATTACTATAAAGTGAGCCCACCGGATCCATCCTCTCTACCGGCTCATACGCCGTCAGCTAAACCAAACGAGTATGTGATATCATAAAAAGGTTCTTTTTCTTTTTCTCTTGTTCAAGCCTCTTTAAAAGTTTAGAGTTGAACTCTTTTGCTTATCAATTTTGACACTTTGCTTATCATCTTTTTTTTTCAGAAATTCCTTTAATTCTCTTCTATTAAGGTACAATAAGAAATGCGGATTTCAACATTTTCATAAATTTACAACGATAGAAACCTAGAAATCGATGCATTTTATAAACTATTTGAAAGTTGTAAATGAAAGTTGTAAATCTCCTCTACAAAATAGGCTAAAACGTTTTTCAAATTGATCGAAGCATTGAAGAAATTTCGAGGCTGAAATGCGAGTGACCAAAAAAGGGCACTTTTTGAAAATCCCACTTTCACAAGAGTTCGGTTTTGACTATATAGTGGAAAATGTCCTAAAATATTAATAAAAGCGCCCAAAAATATGATTCAAAATAATTAAGAGTTGGGATCATTTCATGGGAAAACTTTGTTTTTACAATAATTTTTCTTTTTTATAAAAAAGCCGGTTTTTTTGACAATTTTGAGGGTTTTAAACTTGTGCTCTATCTAAATTTCTGTAAATGCATTTCCGTTAGAATTTTTTAATGAATTTATATACAGTTATCCTTTCTTTTTTTAAATCTTCAGTTTTGGGAAGCTAACTCTATTTTGAGCACACTAAACTTTTCCCTAAAGTGACTCGATTCCTTTTTTTGGTCACTCGCATTTCGGCCTCGAAATTTCTTCAATGCTTCGATCAATTTGAAAAACGTTTTAGCCTATTTTGTAGAGGAGATTTACAACTTTCATTTATAACTTTCAAATACTTTATAAAATTCATCGATTTCTAGGTTTCTATCGTTGGAAATTTACGAAAATGTTGAAATCCGCATTTCTTATGCTTTGCTATTTCTTATTTACCTAATATTTGTTTCTATTTGTTTCTATTTATTTCTATTTGTTTCTATTTTGTTTCCAATATCTTTATCAATCGGGTACTTTAGCTTACTATAGTTATTTAATAATCACATTGTACAGTCTTTTTGGCTTTATATCATTTTGAAAGTAAATCATTTATTCAAAAATTTAATGGGAAAGTTAAAACAAAAATTTCTGAATACTACAATTTTTGTTTCCTATACACATATTTATTGAATATACCAGTAAAAAGTGGGAAAAAGTCTGGAGATGACAAATCCACTGTTGACTACAGACATTGTACAAAAAAAAAGGTACACACATTGAAATAGAAAAAAGAAAAGTACAAAAATATATAGCACCTCGATGAGCAAGATGCTATCTCAAAAGATTGAGAAATTTCTACAAAAGATTCTACAAGTTTCTACAAGATGAGCAAAGAGTTTTCGAGTTAATTGTACTTTTGGATGAAACATGGAAACAAATCCTTTTTCAAAACAAATCTGGATTTGTTTCTATGAGAAAGCACAAAGTACATTAGATTTATACAATTCAACAAAATAGAATTTAAATCAAATTTCGGTAGATTTTCTACTCGATTTTCTACTCGATTTTCTTCGCCACCACCATGTACATTCCGTTTACCTCATAAAGCACGCAAGCCTTATCGTTTTCCATGGAAAGACCAGCCTCTTTAAATGCTTCCATCATCATTTCCTAAATGAGAAAATGATTAGCCTTAAAAAGAAATCTAGCTACAGTATGTCGGGATAAAGAATATTAAATGATTAAGCTGATGCTTAATCATTGAATGCCTTGCCTTTATCATCATTACAAAGAAATCATAAGTTTTGGGTATTATGTGTCTACTGGGGAGTGGGACAAATGCGAATGGACAAATGACAAATCGCATTTGTCCCACTCCCGTCTACTGCAGTGATGTGTTCCTATCAATCTAGAGGCTTTCTAAACCGTGTCAACTTTCAAAAGCTACTTTACTCCTAATTCTACTTTTAGCTTTATTCAATTAATCGAATATGATTTACAGAAAGATACAAAAGGTCGATTAATTAGTTCAAAGAGAGTACAATAGTTGTTAAAAGTCGACACGTTTTAGCCTATTTTGTAGCGAAGATTTCAGTACTACACGATACGCTTTAGAAAACGTTCTAAAGCTTATCCATTAGTATTGATAACTCTGTTTATGAAAATTTTGTTTTCAAAGAAACCTATCTTCTTTCTTTTCTTTCATTTCCAGTTTCTAGCTTTTTCGATTTTAAAGTAATAAATAAATGGGCAAGAAGATAGGCAAGAAAAAGATTTTCGAAGAAAGAGAGGAGGGTTCAACCCTCGACTTTGATCTAATCGACCGATCTCTGGGCAATTGCTCTAACCACTCAGCTATTTAGTACCTTATTGCCAAGAGAAAGAAGGAAAGACAAGGGAAAGAAAGGAAAAAAAAGACGGGAATATCTTAAAGTCACACTCAAGATTCTGCAGAGTCACAGATCAAATTACAAACCTTTTGATCGTTCAAAAACGAGAGAAAATTGAAGTAAATGGAGAGGAATTGAAAGGCTTTAGTCAGAAAAAGTGTCCATGTTTTGGTTGCTCGTGATTCTCAATGTTTACTTGAGTAATGTAGAGACACGTGAAATTTCGTCCACCAAACGAGCACCACGTCTCCTCGAAAACGCCGCCCATCACCAAATATCCACCGAGCGCGATTTGTCGACTCATATTCTTGATCGAGGCTTTGTACTCGTCAAACGTGTTGCAACAGTACTCAACGCAGAAAATTGTGACAAGAACCTAGAAATGCAAAGATTTAGATTTAGATTTCCTTCAAGCCCCATCAACAACAACAACTTGAACAAATCGTTCTGCAACAAAGCATTCTACTTACATTAAACGTCCCTTGTAAATCCTCGGAACACTTGATCGCTGGATCTTCAAAACAATCACAATGATAGATTCCTTTCACCTAATAGAGAAGATATTTAAAGAAAATTCTCTGATAAACCTTTTTCCTTGCTGCTGGCTCCATATTTTTGATGTTTGACCAGTTTCCGCCCTCTCGTGTGTCAATGATTTTTAGTGGAACAGACCTGGAGAAATTTCTTTTATAGATAGAAAGGAGATTTAGATTTATTTAGATTTAGATTTATTTAGATTTTAGATTTATTTAGATTTAGATTTATTTAAATTTAGATTTATCTAGATTTAGATTTATCTAGATATAGATTTAGTTAGATTTAGATTTATCTAGATTTAGATTTATCTAGATTTAAATTTATCTAGATTTAGCCTTATTTAGATTTAGATTCATTTAGATTTAGATTTATTTAGATTTAGATTTATTTAGATTTTGATTTATCTAGATTTTGATTTATCTAGATTTATTTAGATTTTAGATTTATTTAGATTGAGATTTACTTAGATTTTAAATTTATTTAAATTTATTTACATTTAGCTTTTATTTAGATTTACATTTATTTAGATCTAGATTTATATTTAGATTTAGATTTAGATAAAGGTTTAGATCAATTTCTTGAAGAAACTTTGAAGATTGAAAGTTAAATTTTTCTATTATTAATATCAATGATTATTATTAATATCCGAAAAAATCACCAATCAAAGTCCATTTTCTCGTCAAACCATTCTTGAAGCGCTTTTCGATTCTGCGGTAGATAGTCGGCAAGGTAGAGCTGAAAAGGAAATGAAGAGCTCGAGAAAGTGTGATTTTCAGTAGAAGTAAAGTAGTGAAGTAATTTCCATTAAAACTTTAATATTTTTGGTGCCAGCTTGTCATTCTTTAGTAGCATTGACTCTACAATAATCTGAAAGCTGACTAAAGCAGAGATAAGCTTTCTACACGATTTCTAAATCCTTCCAAAAGCAAAGCCACCAAGAATTCAAAGCTGTTACTTCCAACATAAAGTAAGCCCATTTGATTCATTCAGTCACAAGTGTTTTACCTCATCAGCCGTATTCCTGAAGCAGACAGACACATGAATTGTGGGTCCTGCTCCAAAATCGATCACCCTTTTCACAGGTCCAATCCTTTGCACGACCACTGGCAAAAACGTCAACACCATTTGCATAGCCGAGTCCTCGACTTTTGTGTAAAAATCCTGAAAGATTCAAACTCTAGAATAATCTTAGCCAATCACTATTGTCATCTAGGGTTTTGTCAGCTCACATTTCTAGATTTTCTCAGCATTGCTTCTCTTCTTGAATTGGACAGAATCGGAGAGGGAGGAAAACTGAATATGAAATAGAGAAAAAGCAATGATTTCTTTGGAAAAAAAGGCTTTATTAAGCGGTTGATTAAATCAGAGAAACAAGATAAAGTTGAAGACAAGGTAAGTTTGAGGAAAAAGGAAAATAAATGGGAAAACAAAGCCTGAAGAAAAGAAAAGATCAAAGCCAAAGTTTTACATCATAAACATATTCAAGTGCTCAATAAGATGCGCTTACGTGTTTCCCAGTGTTTTTGCGACTTTTACGAGTCATTACCTTCAAGTAGAGATCCGTTTTCCATTCCTCGTGAAACGTCGATCGATCGAGGAGATTTTGCGGCGTGTCGACGGCGGTGATGTTCAGCTTTTCCTTTGCATCCTTGTAGTAGGTGAACTCTAGCTGAAAGGGATAAGATTATGATAAACTTTGATAACTTAGGAGAGTTTACTCAATAATAAAGCTAACCTCAAAAACGCTAGGCATCTTTTTGTGGTTGTTGTCACGGGAATCTAAAAGTTTGACGAGTAAGATGAAATTGTTTTTTAAAAAAACTTTCGAAAACGAGCTTTGTTTAGCAAGGGCGATGGTGAAGCCTAAAAGATGAGCACTGGGGAACTTGGGATTCTCAAATATATAGTGGAAAGGAGAAGGGGGGTCGAGAAGGGGTTTTGATGGGAGGAAAGAGGAGAGCGGATGGATCTTGAGGGAAGGGATTTGGAAAAGAAAGGAAGAAAGAAAAGAAAAAAGAAAAGGATGTGATGGAAAAGATCAAGAAAAGCTTAGCTATAAGAGACAAAAGAAAAGGTTCCTGGTTTTAGAATGGGAAAATGGATGTAGGATGTGATGAAAAAGATTTGAAAGTGTGTAGAAGTGGTGAGAAGAGAAGCAGTTAACTCTAGAATAAAGAAAATCTCTAGATCAAGATGTTGGATTTGATAGAGAGGAATCTGCTAAAAGAATAGAGAATTGGAAAAGATTTTTGAGTCGAAGAAGAAGAAGAAGAATCAAAGAAAAACAAAAGATACAGAGCTGGATGGAAAAGAAAAGAAGTGATGGGGGAAAAGCCTCAAAAAGAAAGTCACAAGTGTGTAATCGGGGAGAAATTGGGAAAGAAAAGTGATGTGTGCAGTGGATATTCGAAGGGAAAACGATGATCATCAACATTTCTAGGGTTTATGTCTACAGATCATTTCTCTCAAAACAAATATTGTACAACTATTTTGAGTTGAGCAGAAAATTGCAGAAAAAAATAAGCACAAAATGGAGTTTTTTTGTATAAAAAAATGAAAGAAATCCTCTTTCTGTTGCACAAAAAAAAATTTCGGTTTCTTTCGGAATTTCTTTAAAATTAAACGGCTCTTATCCGTTATCCGACGTTTTTCGATGAGTAATCGAAGACGAAGAAGCCCTTGTTTGTTCTCTGTTGTTGCGTAATTATGCTCAAATTTTTGAGATCAACTCTTGCCTTGGCTTTATTTATGCTAAAAGTTCGACAGTCTGTTAAACCATTTTCGTCACTCAAACAGTAACCAAAACTGAGAGAATGAGAGAATAAAAGAATTTGTCTCTTGATTTTCTTAGAACTCAACTCAATCATTTTCAATAACGTCATTAACACTAGCTCAACTCTTTAAATGTCATGCCAGTGTCATGAAGAATGGCTGTAAAGTGAGCATCTCCTCGTGCTTTTTTTTGAGCAGAACTTTTCTTTTAAATCTTTTAAGAATTTTTTAGGATTAAAGACTATTGGGTTTCTTTTCTTTTCTCTTTATTCTTTAAGCGCTTCTCGAAAAAATCAAGCAGCTGACTGTTTGACGAAAAAGTTACAAAAAGACGGTGATGAGGGGATTTCGAGTGAAAAGTTGGAAAGCAATAAAGTTGTTTTCTTTCTTTTAGAAGTGATTAACAGAGATTTAATGCTTTGATCCATTTCCTCGTTGTGCAGCCGAATCAACAGACAGTGTTTTGATGGAGGAAGGGGATCGATTGACGGACGTCTAGTAGGAGAGCAGCTATCTATATTACAAATATAACCAATGAAGCTTATTGCAAACAAAATGCAAATCAAAAAGCTTATGCAGACATTAGAAATATTACGAATTTTATTTGGTTTGACAAAAGGAAACCAAAGGTCAATCTTCTCTTCTCAATTCACTCCTTTACCAATCATCTCTTTTCCTCATCGACTTTCAAACGAGTGTTTGACGCAAAGCAAAAGTCAAATGGATCTTCGAGTACATTTCGGTGAGAATTGTTGTGCAAAAAATGGGTTTAGAAATCATAAGAAATCGATTGGAAATCTGTTGTTAATGGGTTTTTTAATGGGTTTGTTAAATGATGAAAATCTTACAATTAGGATTGAGCATCGTGCTCTTTAAACAGTTAACCAAATGGATGATTGGTTACAATAAAAAAAAGTGCCAAAGACACTTCAACGGGGTTCAATCAAGCCGTATTATTAGGTTGAATACTATGTGTTGATATGATTTGCTCTTTTTAGAAACAACTAGTGCTTCAATTTACTCCATCAAGCCTTTCTATAGAAATGAATGATTTTTTGAGGTAAACTAGAGAAAAAGTTATTAAAACTAGTGCGCCAGAAACGGTATTTTTATGAGCTTTAAGCACAAGGGTATTTTTAAAAAGCTTGCCAGTCTCTTTGCTTTGCCAGTTCAGTTATCAGGTTGAATACTATGTGTTGATATGACTTGCTCTTTCTAGAAACAACTAGTGCTTCAATTCATTTAAATTTTTCCCCATTTAAAAGCTCTATTAATCTTTTAAAAGTAGCTTTTTAACGCATTTGGAAATCCTTCCGTTTTCTGATTTTTCAGAGAGCAAGAAGTTGAGGAATTAAAAGCAAAAAAATGATACAATTTGAGCACTTTTAATCACAGAAGCTATTAGGTTGGAAAGAAAGTTCACGGAAAAAGTTTGCACGGTGATTTCTTAAAAACCAAGCCATGAATTCTTCCCAGATTTTTTTCATAAACTTGACTATATTTCCAAAAAGATTTTGACAAAAAAAACTAGAGTGGACTTCAGTTTAAAAAAATAAGAGATTTCTTCAGCTGAAGTGACTTGGACACTTTTTGAGTGACCAGCCTTTAGACAAGTTTTTAATGGGTTAATGGATAGGCAATGGGTCTCATTCAAAACCTAAAATGAAGTACTTCAAATAGAGAAAATTTGTGATTAAGACAAATTTGATCCAATGTTTAAACTTTTCAGAATCACCTATTTTAGCAAACACTCAGTGCCAAGAAGATGACACCAAAAAAATGATTTTTTGAAATACAGCTTCTCTGTAAAAAAAATGTTTGGTCAAAAATCGAGCTTCTAGAAGCTTATTGCTCTAGAAGCATAAATAAGCTTCTAGAGCTTATTTATGCTAGCTTTACCTCATAAAGAATCGTTTTTTTGGTGCAAAAAGTGAGCTGAATTTAAGCTGGAAAAGAATACTTTTCTCAAAAATCTCAAAAATTTTAACGAAAAAAGATGATGATAAAGGTGATGATGATTGTAATGATGATAAAGGCATTCAGCTTAATCATTGAATATTCTTTATCCCGACATACTGTAGCTAGATTTCTTTTTAAGGCTAATCATTTTCTCATTGCACTTATTTTTTTAAGCGTAATTTCTTTGGAGTCGACTTGTAAATAATAAAAGAAAATGTTCTTGAATTGGTGGATTCGTTTTAAAGAAATTCCAGTCAAACTTTTTCCGAGAACTTTCTTTCCAACGTAATATTTTGATGTTATAAGACAAAAAATAGAGCATCTTGACAGCTTTAGTGTTTTTTCTCATTTTATTTCAAACTAATTGCCCCACTTTAGACTTTAGAGCACTTTATGCATAAAACTAAAAGTTGCAAAATAAAAGGTGCAATGTTTACAATTATAATCAAAATTTTAGCTTAATTTGTCAAGCGGTTTTGATTTTTTTTGATTATTTAACGAATTTATGCTTAAATATTTCTCAAAATGCGTCTAAATTTGTGCAAAAAGATGTAAAATGAGACAATGAACAACTATTATTTGATGAGAACCGTAACGGAATTAGCTCTTTAATTGTTTTTACAGAGAAAAATGGAATATCAACATCAACGATACCAAATGGAATATCAACATCAACCATATCAATACATAGTATTCAAGCTAATAATAGAGCTTGATTGGTAAAGAAAAAAACCCTAGTAGTAAGGTAAAGCAGGCTAGTTTAGATTCAGGCCAGAGTTTTAACCAACCCGAGTACCGGGACTCTGGCTTGATCAGCAATAGTCGTCTTCTCTGAGAATCGGTTTAAAACATTGCACCTTTTATTTTGCAACTTTTAGTTTTATGCATAAAGTGCTCTAAAGTCTAAAGTGAGGCAATTAGTTTGAAATAAAATGAGAAAAAACATTAAAGCGGTCAAGATGGCTTTCATCTGTTTGTGATTTAATTGCCGGTAATCAACCCAGAAATTCATTTCACTTTTGTCTGGAATTTAGTTGTGCAATTAATTGGCGATTTTTTTTTACGAAAATTGACTCATTCTGCTATTCGACATCTTGTTTTGCCCAGTTTTTTTCATCTCTTTTGTACTTTGAACCACATTCTGTTTTTGAGCCATTGACCAATCCAATTTGACCGTTTAATTAAGCTTTTGAGACTAACTAACTAAAATAAGTAACATTAGGTGAGTGACTATTGCTAAAATTCAACTTTTCTCTCTACTGAAAGCTCTTTGAGTAAATTGAATTTAAAAATGAAAGAAATTTCAAAATTAGCACCTATTTTCAATGAAATTTACGATGTAATTTAGTAATTTATCATAAAACTAATGTTTATAACTTTCTCGAGATATCTCGTAGCTTTGTGATATCTCAAGATATCTTGTGCTTCTGCTACTAATGACAAGCGTGGCACTTGATTAAAAAGAATCATTCTCGTAATTCTTTTACTCGCATAAGTAGAGTAGGTCTGATCAAAGTCAAAAACTAAACTAAACTTTGGGTACACATCAAGAGGGCTAAGTTGATAATGTTTCAAAATATCTAAGTGATTCCTTTGCTGGATAAATGATCGATGGATCTCATCTCTTCCTCACATCTAATTCAAAATTTCAATTCCCTTTGCTTACTGGATTTAATCTCCCTTTCCCCTCCTTTCCTCCCTAACGTAATGAGTCTAGTGTATCTCTTTCCCTTCCCTTTCCCAAAAACGTCCAAAAGTCTCTCATTGCCCATTTCTTGTCCCCTTTTCCTCTTGCGTCACTTGTCGCGTCGCGTCTCTTGTCCCTTTTTCTTCTCCTCTTTTTTCTCTATTTCCCCTTCACACTCGATTTTTGTTGTGAACCAACGAGTGTTTTTAGCTTACTAGACACCAATTCTGATCAAGGAAAATGGCTGAAGACGAGCGTGCCAGTTTCTTCAAGTATGCTGGTGAGTTGGAGAAGTTTTATCGGTTACTAAAAAACTTAAAACTGTTCTTAACACATCGAAAACCAAATGATCTCACCGGGTGTAGATCATTTTGATCTAAAGAACAAAAGAAAGTTTTTGATCTAAGAAATCTTGATTATTGTATTGTTTTCAAGTTTGACTATTATTTGATAAATTATTGATGTTTTCAGCAACTCGTGCCCCAGGGAAACGTCAAATCAAGCCGACAGCGTTGTTGGAATTGGTGGTGACTGGTGGTGATGATGATGAGGATGAGGATTTCAAAATTGACAGTCAGTTTTCATTGTTTTGTTTTCTAGAGAATATTTCAAACGTTTGATTTCTAATCCCATAGACTTTGAGATTTGAAATGATCAGTGACCACAGGGATCACAGTACAATAAGAGCCACTGTACTGAGGCATCAGATTCTTTTCTAGATTCTTTCAACCTTACTATTAAATGGCCAAGGGATCACAGTATAGTGAAAGCCACTGTACTGAGGTATCAGATTCTTTTCTAGATTCTTTCAACCTTACTATTAAATTTTAAATCTAACTGTACCCATCTTTTAATAAAGAACTTGATTAGAAAAACTAAGAATAGATTAAGATCGGCACATTCAACTCAATAAAATGGATGAAAACTGGCAAAAACCAAAAACAACTCTTGACTTGATGTCTTTTCTATTAAAAATCAAAGTTCAATCAGCTACTTGTAAGATTTTGAAAAGAAAACCTTTAAAACAAGATAAAGCTTTGAAATTCACTAGATCATGATGAGATTTTTCAGAGAAAACAAGTGAAACCGGCTCTGATGAAAGTAGTGACGAGTCGAGCTCCGACTCGGGAAGTGATGACAATGATTCGGACTCGAATTTGGATGACTCGAAGTCCGAAGATTTCGATCAAAGCGAGCTGGATGACTTGCGGAAAGACGTAAAAAAGAACGCAATTTTTGATGCTCAACTAAAATTTCATTTTCAGATCGTCAATACAGAGTCGGCCAGTGAGGTGGGGGTTTTCATTTTCATTTTCATTTTCATTTTCATTTTCCCTAACCCACTAATCCAAGTTATAGCTTTCGTTTAAAATCCTTACATTTCTAGATAATTCATGTTTCAAAGCTTATCTAACAAATGTGATTTTTTTTCTTTCTTTGGTATTTCAAATCTCTTTAGAAACTCGTTTGCTCTGTTTGCCTCAATTTGCGAGATTTGGTGAAAAACGAGGAGGTGATTCAGTGTGATAAGTGAGTTTTTTGAGCATTCAATTGTTCGTATTAAAATTGTGCAATAGTTAAAAAGCTAATTTTAATTTAAAACAACTTGATTTTAGATGTGGTTTGTGTGTTCACGAGGCCTGCTATGGGACGGATCTGGGCGATGATAGCGCCTCAACGCACAGCACATCGTCCACTGGTAAGCTTTTCAATGAGCTGTACCCAATGTTACAATAGTTACTGGGGTTCTTCTTGTTTCAAAAAAAAAGTTTCCAATACCTTTTTAAAAGTAAAAATTCTACAGTAGGCCTACAGTAGCTGCAAAATGAAAAATTTTCTGGCTTATACCAGGGTTAGACAAGAAGCTAGATCTAAAACTAGGCCTAAAACATTTCTGCTTGTAAAAATTCTTGTTACCTATATTCTCAGCCTTATCCAGCTCCAAAGGTTCAAGTTTTGAGCTCCAATAAACCGAAGATTGAATCAAAAAGTAAAGCTGGTGTTGTGGAAATCTGTATTTCACTTTAGAGTTATAAATTTTCAAGTGATTGACTCTTTCTTGATTGTTGATTTGATTTTTGTACAATTGCTATCTTTTCAGAACCATGGTTTTGTGAGCCGTGCCTTTTCGGCTTAATTGAGCCACCGTACTGCGAGTTGTGCCCGAATCGATTTGGAGCCTTCAAAAGGACAGGTGCGTGGGGGGAAGAACGGGGCTTTTTTGTGCGCTTTCATTGCATAATAGTAATTAAGACATAAAACAAATATTGTTAAAGCTTTGAATCTGAAAATTGTTCAGATATCGGCGGTCAATGGGTGCATTTGGTGTGCGCTTTGTACACTCCTGGGTGCACTTTTGGTGATGCGGAGAAGTTGACGGCGATTAGCACGATGGAGATCGATTACTCGAAGAATTATGGGAGAAAGGTGAAAAGATAGAAAAGAAAGATAGAATCTTAAAGATGCAAGTTTCAATTTCTGTTGCTTTTTTGTGCCAAAGTTAGAACTAAAGCTTTAAAAAGTGAAAAGTTATGGCTGGCGAGGGCAAAGTCAAGCTGAGTATCGATTTTCTGGCTGGCTGACTGGCTGGCTGGCTGGCTGGCTGGCTGACTGGCTGGCTGACTGGCTGGCTGGCTGGCTGGCTGGCTGACTGGCTGGCTGACTGGCTGGCTGACTGGCTGGCTGACTGGCTGGCTGACTGGCTGGCTGGCTGACTGGCTGGCTGACTGGCTGGCTGACTGGCTGGCTTCAGCTTCTGAATTTTTGACCCATTCCTGGTTAGAATCGTTATATCATCATTATAATTAAATCTCAGGCTTGTTCGGGTTGTTCTTCTCGATTGGAGGCCCGAGTCGGCATTGCAACAGAGTGTGACGCCGCAATGTGCAAGCAATTTTTTCATCCAACGTGTGCACAGAGGTTTGTTTCGTAAGCAATAAGGTAAAAGTTGCAGATTGAAAGATAATAAAATGCCTAGGTGTTACAAAACAATTACAGATTGGGACTCTTGATCAGCTCAGAAGAAGTGATAGCCGGACCGTCAGAAGAAACAGTTTATATTCATTGTAAGAAACACTCTCAAGAAGAAATCATCCGGAAGAAGAGATTAGCGTTCGTTGATTGATTCGAGAAAGAATAAAGGCTTACAATTCAGATATGCTCGTTTCCATCGATACGAAGAAAAAAGAATGATCGGTTTGAAGAGAAAGGTGAGTTGATGATAGGGGAAAATGAGATTTTTGTTTAATTCGCAGAAGTTGACCGAGAGAGAGGAGCGATTCAGGAAGAGAAATTTGGAGAGACTCACAAAAACGCATAAACAACTTGAAGGGGTGACAATTTGCTGGCCTGGAGCACAATTTGACGAGGTATTGTATAAGATTTTTGAAATCAAAAGTTTTCTAAACAGGATCTAAACAGGATTCAAAAAAGGATCCAAAAGAAACTTTTGGAAAAGTAAGATAAACAAATTTTCTTCAGATAAACTCAAGTAAAAACCAACAAAATCTCATTTTTAGAATGAAATTAAACAACGCCGAATTCGCCCGCTGCAAACATCGATGAGAATTGTTGAAGGGTTAGCGGAAAAGGTAAAAAAAATTAAGTAAATGAGGAAATGTTTGACTCTATCGAGTAAGATTTAACGAGATACAAGCAAAATTTTCTTAGACCGAAGACAACTATGGAATCTCACGCGAAGATTTCGAGAAAGAATTCTTCAAAGTGCGCGGAGAAACGCTTCCCTTTTTACCGCCTGCTTTCAGCCCGGAATTTGTTAGGTCAGTTTTGTGAGCAATTTTTTTTCAAACATTTTCAAACATTCACCCTAAACATTCTAATAGAAAAGCTCTTCTATTTTTCAATGTCTTTTTAAAATTCTTTTTCGTGCCCTAGTTACAGTATGCTCAAACTTTCAAGAGCACAAAAATAGGTGTTTTTGTTGGATTTTCATCAGGTTTTCGACGTCAATAAGCTTTTTTTTAGTTTATAACTATTTAAAGCCTTTGAAAGTCTTTAAAAAGTTGAGGATTTTGCTATCTGTGAGTTGAAAAAGACAAAAAAAAATAAAAAATCTCTTTTAAAGGTCTAAAATTTTGTCTTTAATTAAAATAAATACGATATTTTTAGCTATTTCCACAACCGAGAACGCAACGTTTTGTCGAATGAGCAAAAGCGCTTGGAGGCGCTAAATGAGCAGAATAAAACACTTCGCGAGCAAATGAATCAATTGGAGGAGAATGCACTAAAGGTGACAACTTTCACTACCGTAAATACTGTAATAGTACCCCACCCCCATAATGACGGTGCGGAGTGATGCGTAGTCTAGCTTTGAACGAGTTTTTCTCGACACTGGTTTATGCTACAATGCGCGCTTAGGTATCAAAAAATAGCCCTGAATTTCAGCTATTTTTTGATACCAAAGACGCATTTTTTGAAAGTACGAGTGCTTTGTAAAAAATGAAATACTAAAAACCTGTGCGACTACGCGACTGTACGAGGGGGGACTGGGGTACTATTACAGTATTTACGGTATGTATTTATTTCTTAAAATCAACTGCAATTTCATTTTTCATCCATAATTTTTTCAGAGTGATGATGACGAGAAGAAATTGGACGCCTCGTTGAAGAAATTCCAGCAATTTTATGATGCTTTAGTGAAATTGGGAGTGAAAAAGCTGACAAATCCGTTCGTATCGCTCATCAAGGAGAGGTGAAACAAGAAAAAATATATAGAAGGAAAAAAAACTGTTTTATCTACTTAACTAACTTGTTGAAATCGAATGTTTAGAAAGAGTGGAGGAAAGAAGCAAAAGAAGACGTCAACATCAGCAAAAGGCTCAAATCCCGCATCACCGATCCATTCTCCTCAGCCATTCAAAAAAGCGAATCTTCATGAATGCAAAGAATGCAAGAAACAAATCGATCAACATTTATTAATCGAATGTGACCAATGTCACGCTTTCTATCACATTCGATGTCTGGATCCACCATTGGAAAAGATGCCAAAGAAGGTTGGGATAAGCTTTTAGAATCGAAAATTGCTTTGAAAGCTGTGTATGTCTGTTTGTGCGCTACTCCTCCGCATCCAGTGGACCGTTTCAGATAACTTGTCGTTAGTTTGGCTTAGAATTTAATTTAGTTATGCAACATGTTTTTAAATTTCTAAAAAACCAAAATTGCCGACACGGGCAGGAATCGAACCCGCGTTGTGTGGGCTAGAGACGAATGCGCTCGCACTGAGCCATCTACTAGAGCATGGCCGAGTGGTTAATGCGGTGTCCCTCAAACGGACAGAAGAAAGAGGTCGCGGGTTCGACTCCTCTCGCCGCCAATTCTTTTGCTTTTTGCTTTAAAAATTTTGCTGGTGTTATATAATTCTATTTTTTAAAGTTAACGAATAAATAATCTGTGGGAAATGATTTAAAACAATGATTAGATTCCCAAGTTTCCAACAAAACTTTTTTGATTTCTTTCTTTTTAGACAAACTTTGACTGGCATTGTAGCGATTGTATCAGTGATGACGAGGATGAGGAAGAACGAGAAGAAAGTGAACAGAGTGATGAGGTAAAAAAAAAGACTTTGCAATATAGAAATTGGAACGCGAACCATTCGATAATTGTCTGAAATCTGAAAATTTCAGGACGCTCCTCGCAAGTTGAAGCTTCGGCAACGCTCCGATGCGAATAAAGCGCAGAAGCTGCAAGAGGCTTTGGTAGGTGCTGGTGTTTTGTGTTTTACTGAATCAATTTCAGGATCAGAGGCGTGCGTATCGATCCGCTATGCAAAACGCTCGACAAAAGCCGAAAACAAATGGAGATTCGCCAAAGAAAACAAAGAAAAAAGCGGCAAAAAGCAGTAATTTTCCGGCAAAACGCCCTCGATCTCAATCAAATGGTTTGAGAGTTATGAATGTTTAAGAAAACTGATTAAAAACTCGTAAATACTGTAATAGTAGTGGATTCTCATAATGACTGTTGCGGAGTGTTGCGTAGTCTAGCTTTGAACTAGTCTAGCTTAACGTAGTCTAGCTTTGAACTAGTCTAGCTTAACGTAGTCTAGCTTCTCGACTTTAAAGTTTAAGTTACAATGCATATTTCAAAGAGTGTAATCATTTAAGAATCATTTAGCTTCCTCAACTCCAATTTCACCAAGCTCTCGCTCAACTTCGAAAGCTTCAAAAAGATCACCGGATAAGAAAAACACACAAAGAAAGTCTCCAAGACTTTCCAGTCCTTCATCCAAGAAAAAGAAACTTGGAATCCATGAAAACGTTTTGAAGGTGGGGCATTCGAACATTTACTGTTCAAATAAAAATGAAAATAGTTCTGGAATTTTTGCCAACTTAATAAATTCTATAAAAATACTATAATTATAACACAAAATTCAGGGTCGCCAGGTTTACGTGGCCGACAACGGACTCCCATCATACTATGACAGCGATGTGAGTGAAGAGTTCTGCCTTCTCGACTAGGATATTCGATTGTTATCAATATTATCTCCTCACATTCATTTATTATTGTGTTAGATTTTTTTTAAATAAATCTTTTTCGGGTCAACGATTTTCTGTGCGGTTTACTAAAAAGGGTTTACTAAGAAGGTTTTGTTCTAGATGTTGTTGTGTTTCTGTTCTAAATGTCTTTCTAAATGTTACCCTCAAAGCGAAATAAAGATATTCGGTCAATTTTTGAAAAAAAAAACGACAAAGAAGTTGCAAGGCTAACTCTGATATTTATGATTTGTTTTGAAAAGATAAATTTCTGTACATTAGAAGAAGTTTAGAAGTGTGATGTACATTTTTGAGCCGACCACTCCGACGCCCAAGGATCGAGTGTTGGTTTTGTTTTTTGTCGTAGCTATTTGGCTTTAAAATCTGATTCACATAGAAATCACATTGTACTGTACATTGTACACATTGTACTGGACTTTAAAAATACACGCTTTCAGGACTCGAGGCCGGTACACTTTGTCGAAGCTTGAACTCGCGGTGAAATATGTGATTCGAGGTAAGCTTTCACTGGTATAGAATGATTTATAACTTTTAATTCTATTAAAATTACATTAATAAACAACTCAGGTAAACAGTATTATCCTTTTGATGATTTGAAGAATGTGTTTTAAGATGGATGGAGCTGTTACAAAGCGGCTGAGGTGACCGGTATCCCAAGGACGACCATACAACGACGTGTTCAGTGAGTTGCATGGACAAGACAAATTGAGTGCATCACTTCTGTATCTGCTTTAAGAAAACATTTAATTAGAATCTACATAAGATAACCAGCTTATAATTATTAATCCAAGTTCCCCAGGATCATCCGATCCGAGCAGAAGCGCCGTCTCTCTAATGGAAAAGATCGATCAACAAGAAAGGTTTGATTTTATAATGAGTAAAGTTTGAAATCTTGAAAGATAATGGTTTCTATTATGTTAAAAAAAGAACTCAAGAACTGAATTCAATTCTAGAGGCCGTTTTCTGAAGTGGAGCCCTCGACATCAGAGGAAATCTTTTGGGAAATACCACAGGAAATGGTGATAGAGGATGAGCTAGAAGAAGTGAGGGAAAGATTTTTGAAAATAAATCCAATTATTCAGAGTTTCATCGAATGCGGAGAAGTGTTCTTTGAGATGGATGATGGAATGTATCTAATGGATAGAGATTGGTAAGGGAAATACAAGAATACAGGAAGATAAGTTGAAGAAACGAAAACAAAAGTTTAGCCTTAATGCCGCGGAACAAGGGATGGATAGTGTGGAAAATTTAGCAGCTCAACAATTGAGAACACCAGCGGATTTTGATGACCGGGAAGGAAATCGACGAGATTTCACAAGAACGGTAGCTTAAAACGCGATTTCTAAAACCTAAAACTATCTTGCCTCTAACAAGCTTTTCAGGACTTCGATGTTCACACTGAGCATGCGTATAGTCAGCGTCAGGAATCCGACGATGTGGTCGATAAGCGGCAAAGGGGAAAATACTATAAAGTTAGTTCAGCATCAATTTGAATGAAGATCATAGAATATACTATAGCTGATACGAATTTAAAAGCAGATTGGAAAAAAACTCTTCCAGAGATTGATCGTCAATGCGCAAACGGGAAATCACTCGAAATCGGGGCAATGACTTCGAAAAGAAAGTTATTTGCAAAAAGGCATAATCGAAAAAAAAAAAAATCAAAATTTCACTTTCCTTTTTAATGTAATTTTCTTTTTTTCAATAATTTTGCTCCACAACTGTGATGCCGCCATTTTTCTTTATCGTCTACGGGGGTGGGACAAATGCGACCTTTTTTTGCGCACCTGGACATTTGCGCACCTTTTTTTTTGCTGGAAAAGGCCTTAGGAAAGGTCGTAGAGCTTCAAAAATGTTTTCATAGAAGGGAATCGTATGCGTAGATTCCGAATTTCAACAAATCAGACCTCGCTGACACGTCAAATTTGGGCTAAAAGGCAAAAACTAGGCAACTTAACGCTTTTCCGCAGTTTTTGCCTTTTAGCCCAAATTTGACGCGTCAGTGAGGTCTGATTTGTCGAAATGCGGAATCTACGCATACGATTCCCTTATATGGAAATATTTTCGAAGCTCTACGGCCTTGGCTAAGGCCTTTTCCAGCAAAAAAAAAGTCGCATTTGTCCCACCCCCGTAATTTTCTTTTTTTCAATAATTTTTCTCAACAACTGTGATGCCGCCATTTTTCTTTATCGTCTACAATAAATTATTTACTTTCGTTCACAAATAAATTCAAAATGCATTTTTAAACGTTTTAATATTTCTACGATTTAAGTAATTCAAAGAAATTTAATTGCTGTAGGCTAATTTCCGTTATTTTATTTGCGCAATTTGTCATTGGTCATTTGCGCAACTCGCCATAACTTTCTTTTAAGTGAACCAATCTTTAGACCTAGAAGAAAGTTATGGCGAGTTGCGCAAAAGATCTAGTTGATCTAATTTTTTTTCAAATTTCAGAATGCGTCTTTTTCGGGGGCTTCTTGCCGCAACGAAAAAAACAAATGTCACGGAAAGCGACGTGAAACGATTCCCACTCATCCTGTACAAACAAATTTTAAGGTAAAGATTTTCATTTTAAATTTTAAAATGTTTAGCATTTTATCTTCTTCTTATAATTTTAATACAGCTTGTTATTTGTTGTAAAAAAATTTTGTTTAGACTACATTATGGTTTACCAGCACCGGTACGCGAAATGGGTGATCAATATGTTCGCGATGAGTTCAGAAGGTTTGTTTTTTAGACTTAAAAAGCTTAATAGTTAAAAGAAAATAGAGATTTCTTTTAAAAGTAGCCTATCTTTGCTTTTTTTTATGAGAGTTTTTCTTTTAGACATATCAAGGCGGAGCCCGCGCAAGCAATGGTCTTTCTTCACGAGTGGACGGTTTGTTTTTGTTGACTTTAACTTGTTTAAATGAGTTAATTAAAATTTTTCGAGAGCTAGACAGTAAAGCAATACATTTTAATCTTCTTTCAACGATTTGTTTAGCATTACTATAGCGATCTGTCGAAGCAACTACACGGGAAAGGATTGCGAGGAAATCTTGGAAAAGATATGCAGAATGAGCAATTCGATCATTTCTCCGAGGAACAATTACATCAACTACTCGAATTGAAAGTGGGTTTCTTTATGTTATATTAAGAATTGTGTATGGAAGTTTTGTATATGTCTAGTGACGAGTTTTTTTAACAAAATGAAAGATATGACACGTTTCTTAAGCGATTTTTAAAAGAAATTGTTTAAAAAGACCTCATTTAAGTCCTTCATTTTCAGGAGGAAGCGGAAAAGACGAGAAATTCAAAGATCGTCTTTTGAGAGAATCGTTGCCACGTCAGATTTAATAATTTTATGAAGTTTGTTATGTTTGTGCTCATTTTTATCTTTGCGGGTCTTAGTGTTTTAGATTCTATAATATTTTTAGTGTTTACAGTTAGTTTTATTTAGAATTTTAGATAAAGTTTTAAAGTTATTTATGGCATTTACCAAAGAACATTTTGTTTAGGGGATTTGATTTCGGAAAAATTAGACGAGAACAAAATCGACGCAAAACGGGATGCTAAAATAATGCGACTTTTTTTGCGGGGAAGGCGAGGAAGAAATTTGACTCTACCCAGAGTCAAGTAAGATTCACAAAAAAAGGATAAGATTTTTTTAGAAATTTAGGTGCATTCTTATTTGCTAGGCCTAAAAAATATATTTTCTTTGAAAAGTTAAATGAAAACTGCGAAATTTTAATTCAAATCAATCTCTTCAGGCTTTCGCTCCTCTTGAAAGTGTTTTCTAAAACGATAGCACGTTTCAAAAACTATCATTTGTATAAAAAACGATAGCATTCTAGCATGGATACACTTTAGAAAAGTGTACTCAACAACACAAATACTTTTCTGATCACTACAAGCTTTTTCAAGCTTACAAAGTCAGCTAGGAGTCGGTTGTTTAATCATAAGATATTCAAAGAGCCTGAATTTATCATTTTGAATCTTAAATATTTAAGTTTTTAATATCTTCAAGAAGATATTGACAATTTTCTTTTTTTCAAAACAAAAGCATCCCTTCCAGAAAGGCAATTTTTGCCGTGCTTGATGAAAAGATTTCATTTGAATCTTGATTTGTTTGCTCTTTCCTTTTCTTAAAGGTATCCAAATATTTTGAATCGCGTGCCTCGTATGAATGAATTTCTTTCAACATATCAAGAGAAAAGAAAAGTAACATAGGATTCGGATTGAATTTCGCGTTTCCTCCGCACACTACTTGAACATTTTTTCTCTTGCGTGTGATTTTCAAAAGACTTCACTCATTTTGGTGTTGAAGTGGTCTTTTTAGATTTTAAAGGAACACCAAACGATCTTTGAATTTTCGAACACTTTTAGTTTCCATGACTTTGTCATGTTTTCAAAAATTTCTGCATGCTTGCTGCAGCAAAATGTTTCATCTCATGCAAGGATCAATTTTAACTTTTGAACTATTAGAAATTTTGTAATTTTAACCAGCACCAAGCTGTTTTTGAAAATTGAAGTGTTTTAGGAAGCGTCTTACTAAGATGCTTCCTAAAACACTTCAATTTTCAAAAACTTTCCTAATCCTGTTAAAACTTTTAGAATATCGTAGTTTTTATCTTAAAGCTAACTAACAAATTGAAGCACATGATTTTTGAGGGATTTTTTTTATTTGATGAGGATCATGTGTTGCATGCGAAAAGGAAATAAGGATGAGTTGGCCTCAAATTGAGCCAATTATCCCCTTTTCTCTTGAGAAAGAATCTTGTTTAAATCGAGACTAAAAGGGATTTGTTTTGCAATGAACCTTCTTTTCTTTTTTTCCTTTTGATTTAAAATATCAATATTTACTTTTTCTAGTTTTACCGGGTGCATTCCTGAGCACACAATTGTTAGCATCTTAATCGGTACGATAGGGAGGGGTGTGTTTCTATTTCGAGCACAAAGTACACAATGAAAAGACTTAAAGTAATGACAAGTCAATCGCTTTTCTAGTATCGTTCTCATTTTTGATGTCCTACAAGAGAAAATTGAATCGTTCGAAGTGTTTACTTTGAGTAAACATCGGAAAAACATTGTTTCGATCGTTTTTCAGATTTTTCAATTCTATTACACTACACTTTTTCAAGTAATTATCAAAAGTAATCACGCAATAATCAGCAATAAGCACGATTTCATCTAAATACTTAAAATTCTCTTTATTTTTGACTGTTTTCAATCACCTGTTTTCCTTTCAAATGAAACTTTTTCTTCTCTCAAATGTTTATGTTGCAAAACAAAAAAAGTTATTTACGGTGAATTAATCAAATTATTTTGCGAAATGAAAATGGGTTTGGTCTTTAGTTTTCCCCGCTTTTTGCGAACCTTAATTATGCTTCGGAATTGCGGAAATTTGACGCACTCCATTGTGAAGAATGTAGGCAGTCAAAGCTCACTTATGGATAAACTTTGGCTTGAACTTGCGAAGATCAATTTGACTTTGCCATCTGTGTTAGGCAAGCTAAACCAAAGCCAAGTCCAGGCTTACCACTGATGAACTCATGTACTTTATGAGCCAGTAAAGTCAAGCTAGATCTGCCAGGCTTAGGCAGAAACCGTTTATTAGCTATTATCTCTCTTGTTTTAGCTAATGATTTGATTCAGCCAATTTTTCACAGATTTGAAAAAGTCGCGTAAGTGTTGCAAAAACATAGTGTTCGATGTTGCTTTTGCTGGGTCTAATTGCAGTTTCTTCACGTTAAGTGGTATGCAAAATAGTCACGAGAGATGTTCTTTAAGCTGAATCCCTTTCCTCTTTTTCATTCCTTATCCTCTCCTCCTTTAGTTGTGGGAATTTTATTAACTCTTCCTTCCTAGAGGCTTGTTGAGATTTTTTTTTTGGATGAGAGATTTCTCTTTCCTAGCTTTCTTCATCGATAATACGATTGTGTTGTTTACTTCTATTTAGTTAAAGAATGCCAAGTATGCTTTGATCGATTTACGATTCACTTTTGAATTCCTTTTTGTACGATCATAAAACATTTTATAATCAGCTGAGTCCCTCAATGAATTCCATCTGTTTTTCTTTATTCTTTGCTGTCATAAACGTTCGTTGGCCTCACCTCACCCCAATCTTCAAATAGAAAGTGTTTCAGAGTTCATTTCTCATAACAAATTCACCTGTTATCATTCTATTGAAAAAAATAGTGACTATAGTTTTAAAAATCGAGTAAAGAATGAAAGGAGTGGCTATAGGACATTTTTTTTTCTATAGAAGATTTTGATCCAATACGCTTGCTATACGGTTCCAATCTGGTTCCTATTTTGATCCAATACGGTTGCTATACGGTTCCAATATGGTTCCAATGTGGTTCCTGTTTTGATCCAATAGAAGATTCTATAGAAATTTCTATAGAAAATCTATAGAAGATTTTTTCGAGCGAGCTTTGCTCTGAAATTTTAGTAAAGAAAAACGAGAGGAATTCTATCAGATTTTTGTCACATTGATATTGCATTAGCGTTTGGATTCGAACCCGTGGCCTTTAGCTTTATCTGATGGTCGGGATAATGCTCTACCAATGAGCTACGTTGACATCTAAATGCTGTTAAGGTAGACTAAGGTTAAGGCCGTTAAGATAGACTCTTCTACGACTGCAATTCCGCCATCATCACGCAACACACATTCAAAGTGGAGTTGTTTATTAAAATCCATTTCATTTGTTCATCTTGCTAAGAGAATTGAAATCTGGGAAAAGTCTAAAATAGAGAAAATAGAGAGAAACAGATGAGGGAGAAATTCGCCGTGTAACACTCGAATTTCACGTTTTCCCTCCGAAACGGAGGAAAAGGATTTATTGGTTCCCGAAATGAATCTCAATCTCGCAATGATTATGAATTTTGGATCCAAAAGTTTTTTTGAACTTCAAACACATCAAATTCTTTGAAAAACTCATTTCAATCCCACAATGATTAGGAGTTTTTTTGATTTAGAATTTAGAATGATCCATCTTGTTTTAGCTAACGATTTGATTCAGCCAATTTTTCACAGTTTTGAAAAAGTCGCATAAGTGTTGCAAAAACGTTCTTTCTCAAACTAAATAATAGATAGAATATACAGGGTGATCAAGAATTACCGCAACAACGTCGTATCATGTTATGAGCCTCATTTCACTTTTTGCTTACCTGTTTTTATGGTTATGTTACGTTTTTATGGTTATGTTACCGTTATGAAACTCTGGGCACGGTTTCTGATCGCCCTGGAAGAGGTGCAAAACGAACAACTCCGGCTTACTCCGGCTAATGTCAAGAAAGTGCGCGATCGTCCAATCTGCTTTTAAATTCGTATAAGCTATACAGGGTGACCAAGAATTACCGCAACAGCGTCGTATCATGTTATGAGCCCCATTTCACTTTTTGCTTACCTGTTTTTATGGTTTTTTTTTGTATTTTTCTTATTTTCTGGTATGATTACTAATTTTCAATACATTAGTATGGTTGTTTTCAGGAATGGTGAAAGCGTCTCCACATCGACAATCGATCGACAAAGCCAGGCCTTTTGTGTGTTGCGGTAATTCTTGGTCACCCTGTAGTTAAACTTTTAAATTGTTTTAAGAAAAAAAACCCTGTCAGTCTGTCAGCTGGCTTATCGAATTTGTATTTGTTGAATATCCTCAAATGTAGAATAAAAGCCCAATGTATTGAATGCCAATGCCCAATGTTTTCCGTGAATTTTCCATTCTTTGATGTTTTTGTTTGCTGTTCTCTTTCTCCAGAATTGTTTCAAATGTTCAATGATCAAGCTCTTGAGAATTCCTAAATTAAATGATTCAAGGAGGTGGGTTTCCGGGTTGATCCATTTTGAGAAGAGCGGAAGCGAGGCTTGTCAGATTAGCATTTTGAACATTTTAAAACGATAATTACTACCTAAAGTCCTTGTTTTATCCATTCAATTCCTCAATCTTTGCACTTGTTATCTAATTTCATCAAGTTTTCCGGGGAAAAATTTGATCTTTCTATTTACTAGTTACGTGAATGAAAGGTTGTTTGCCTAGAATTCGAATCGGAATTTCATCAGAGATAAAAACTAGTTTAACTTTTTGGCCAGCTTCGCGAATTTTTCGTGGACTTGAGTTTTTCTGAGAAACTTTCTTGTATCATAGCAAAAAGCTGACTTTTGATCATCTCATTTTGGGAATTCTGTTCAGAAAATTGAGATTTTGGCCTTCGAAAAGGTTCTCAATGGATGATTATGATTCAATCTAAATGCCGTTAAGGTAGACTAAGGTTAAGGCCGTTAAGATAGACTCTTCTACGACTGCAATGATTCAATTATGATTC